CCTCGCGATCGATCGAAAAAAATTACCGTCGAAGGTTGGCGCTCGATCAGCTCGTCATGTCCGTGCTGCTCGCTCAAGAGAGAAAGGTCTCTGTCGGGATAATCCAAAACGCGGGCGGGACGACGCCTGGCTCCTGCCCATCTATGCCTATCTCTGCCCATCTCGTGGGATACCGAAGCTCAATGGCGACCGATGAACAATGGCACGTTTGAAGAGTAGATAATTGCGGATAGTAATGGCTAGTGAACGGAGCTCTGAGGGTCGAATCAAATTAGATCTAAAAATTGACGGCTCTCAAAAACGTGATTGAGAAGAAGAGAGCGATCGCTTTCTGATCATTGGAGTAAATTGAAATGGAACAAGCAAGAATGTGCGGAGGTACATATGAGATTAAAAAGATAACATTCGCATCTTATCAGGAAAAAAAAGCAATTGTAATTTATCAAAGAATCTAATGAACAAACAATAGTCAACTACAATACTACACATTTACAATTAAGTTCAGAAAGAATTTTGCTGAAATAAAAATGTAGTTAGATACAGTTTTGAAAATAATTTTAAACTATTAGGTGTTGGAATTAATTTGTAGCGTTTTACAAGTGATGGGAAGTACTTTCATTAATGTATTTTTTAATGCTCATGTGAAATAAATAACATTCTTTCATTAAAAAACGCTACGAATTAATTCCAACACCTAATATAAAAATAATTATGTAGGAAATTCAAACATAATGACCTTCAAATAATCTTAATATTCTGGCAATCAGCTTGAGCGTAATTATTTGATAGTTGAACAAAATTATTCTTAGAACTGTGTCCAGCTAAACTTTTAGATACTTGAGCAAAATCATTCTTAAAAAGAAACATTTTCTAATTTTCTACTTTTTATTATAAATCATAATTTGTTTAAAAACTTTTATAAAATATTACAATATTTTCGAAGAATCTATAATTCATTTACGACGATTTACTGCGAACTTTTCATCGACACATCTCTCTCTATATATATATATCTACTATAATAATTCTTTATCTCATATATTCTCTCTCTGGAATTCAACGAAAAATATTTCGAAAGAAAACAGCGAGGAACGAAGCAAGGTTCTTACTGCACTTGAACGCCGCGATGCAAGCCTCGTTGGCAAGTGTTAATAACGTAATCGTCGATGAAAGAGTTAACATCGTAACTCTTGACAGCCGGTGAATGGAAACGTGAATGGAAACGCCGTGCCGTGCGATCGGCACGAAAGTAAGAGGCATTCGTTCGATCGTTCGTTCACGAAGGAATCAGCGGCTCGACGAAAAGTCAAGGGACCGTTTCCTCAGCGCTCAGCGCAGAGATCCTTCAAGGTAGCCTGAGAATGCTCGAGGAATCTGCATCCACCGTTCCTAACGTTTCGCTTCGCCTTGATCGACGGTTTAAACCGCGTAAATCGCGTTAGGAACTACAAATCTCCGCGCATACCGCGAAAAATACAATCCCTTGTTACTTTCGCAATAAAAATACATATATATTTTTTCATTTATATGATTACTTGAAATAACACAACGTCGTGGTTGACACCACAATTTTCCATTTTATCCTTCTCCATTTTGACGCTGCTGCCACGAATAGTGGCAGACTGTCGGCGTGACAGTATAGTTCTGTTGTAACGTTAATCGAAAACTTTCGAGTCATTTATAACGCTGTAAGAACTACTGCGACGAAACACGATGTCAAGGGTCAACCCAACGCACGATCCTGCGCGCGCTCGCGATTAACCTTTCCGCTATGAATAAATCTCACTGTCGCGGGCGCGCGAGCGCGCGATATGCGCTTTATATCTCCTGTTACATGCCCGCGTGTGGTAAGTTTGAGAGACATCGCGTGATTTCTACAACTCGCGCATTAAGCGCAGCGTGTTGTAAATTAATGATATACGAAAGATCGACGGGACAAAGTCTCGATCGCGAAATCGTTATACCTTGCAAAGCGCCATTAGCAACGCAACGACGACTGCAATAAATTTCTGCCTTACATTTACGACTTTAATGTAATACCATGATACGCATACGTCCTTCCACGAAAGCGAAAGCTAGTTGTACCTTTGCACTCTGGATTATTTTCACGGTGCCGGCTCGCTAGGTCAGTATCATTTTCACGAGTTTCAAACTTATTAGACATAAATTCCGAGAAATATATGTTTATATTAATGCTACAAGATACGATAATTTATGGGAGAACTCATATAGTATAAATATTTATCTAGAGGTAAATCATTATATAGAAGGAGAGAGAGAGAGAGAAAGAGAGAGAACATTCGTCTCGGTAGACTGATATCGTGGCACTAAAGGATAAAGAATCACACACGCGATATTAAAGATTTTCCCATGTATTCGTGCAAGGCGATAATATAATAGGAGAGAGGATGTCACGGTCGTATAAAATTATTAAATATCGTGAATCATATATGTGTATGGCAAATGTCATAGCATATTTTATAAACAAAATATTTATTAGTCTTAGTTCTAACCAGGAAATTAAAACTTTCATTGGGAAATCTCGATAATTTTTCGAAAACAGTAGAAAGTCATATCTCTCTATCTCCCTCTTTCTCCCCCCCCCCTCTCTCTCTCTCTTAAATCTTTTGAATAAAAGTAAATTTTATCATTATTTGTTTAACAATAAGATTGCTTGACAAATTATTGTCTGTGCTTAATTTTGATCTTGGTTTACTGGTTAGTATACTGGATAGATATACTTTATTTCTTAATGGAAAAAATTTGTTAACTAATTTGTATTGAGCAAGAATGATCCTTAAATAAATTTTTCTTTTCTTGAATGCAATTCTCAATTTGCGTATTCTTGAAATCCTCGCTTGCTACATTTTACTTTCTTCTTAATCTTTATTTTAAAGAATATACATTTTGTGAGATTATATTATATCTGTCAGTTCTTACAATGTGTATTCTATTACATATAATATATTTGGACAAGCGCTTGAGAGGACAGTGTCTCAGAGTGTCTCTGAAGTGTCAAATAAATGACAATTCAATCTCTCTCTTTTTCTCTCTCTCTCTCTCTCACTCTCGCTCTAGCTCGTTTTTCTCCATAATAATAATGTATTACAATATATAAATAATTATAATTTCAAGGATTAATTAAACATCTGAAATTCTCCTTGCATTAACAGCATATTCTACGCGATATCAATTCATTCTCAATTCCGTAAGATTTGCTGAACATCAAAATATCAATGCAACGAGTGCTGATCGAATCGAGGCATACCATGTCGATATAGTTAAAAGATGTAGCATAGTTTGGAGAAACGGCAATGTTCCGATTCCCGGTCGGGTTTCCGAGCACGTGCACCGGAGCCGCTTCCATCATATGACCGTACAATCCGATCTGCGTAATCGGTTCACCAGGTGCCAGGCACGGACAAATAGGGTACATCGGTATGAAAGTAAGAGGCTTCGATCTGAAAACGCGACTGTCGATGTCGGCGGGAAAGATCTGAGAACAGAATAAAACTGCGAAGTCAGACGGAGATAAAATGAACGAAAAACGGAGAAAAAGGTAGTGATAGAAAAAAGAGAGAGATAGAGAAAAAGAGAGTGAGAAGGAACGAGTCGGCGCTCTTAGGCATTTCTTAGCTTCGGTATATGTCTAACGTTCAGCTGTGCAGGCTCCCACGATCGGTTCATGGTCTCTGCTCGCGGAACTAACAGAGATCGGGATAGTTGCGGCCAGAGTTTCCCAACGTCTTTTTTATTCCGTTTTTTGCGGATCTACGCTGAAATTTTTGGCGATCGTTTAACTGGGACAACCGTCGTCGATCGCAACTTGTGCAAACTGTAAAGACTGCTCTACATATTAATGAAAGTCATGGCGTATTTCTTTTATCTGAGCATACGTTTATATCATATTTTCCTATTAGCTATTTCGCCATCTTGAATCTAATTATTCTATTATTCGAGAAGCGCTTAGTAATTCTTTAAATATAATATGATTATTAGATCCAACATGGCTTTTACGATACTTTTATTAACAAGGAGCTTTAGTATAGTCAACCGAATAATACGATGCAATTAAATCTTTCTATATTTGATTTATATAGGCGCGCATCAAAATTTTATTTATGTCCTCTCATATTGATCATGTAATTGTTCTGAATGCTTGTTCATATCGCATTACATTAGCATTACCACTAAATATATACAATGTCAATACGAGATAAGAATCGGACAATGGCATTTAGCGTTACACACGCAACATGAATACTGATTCGCGATCTGTAACACTTCTACGACGTAACCGATGGCAATAGCGGCGAGGAATCACTTTCGCATAACGGTATCGAGCTTGCAGTCGTTATTGCATCGCGCGCCTATGTCCGCCATTCTTACGGAACAAGATTATTATTCTCGCGGGATCAACACGGCAACGATTATTACCAGATATATAATACGATCGTCACGATCGCCGGTATCATTATCCCCGTGCAACAGCGATTTGCGCAATTCTGACTCATTCTATCGATCTCGAAGTCATACATTGTTTTTACTCGCGCTGCAATCTCACTACATTCTCATATCCCGTGTGTAACTAACATCAGAGAGGATGTATGAAAATTTCGTACCTATACCTAGTCAGACGTTCATCGGTTCATTTGAAGTTGAGTTGGGAGACACTGAGACGTCTACCTACGTGCGGCATTTTACAACGGCTGCATATGCGACTGCGTACGCGTACGCGTGCACACGCATACACGCGTGCACGTACGTAGGGGCACTTACACGCGTAAACGCGCCCTTACGATCCCACGGCGACTTGCCGTGCTTCTGCGGCCTTGCCGCGTGAAAGGCACACGGAAACTGGCGCGTCCATCTTATTACGTAAAACCCAAGTTTTCATGAGATCAGCGGTGTCCGCAGGGACGTAGCGATTTGCTCCGACGAAGGAGAGGAACGGCGACAACGATGACGGGTGAGATAGCGAGGAAAACAAATACATCATGACGTAGAGACGCGCTCGCGAGGGATGCTCGATTAACGGCTTCAGCTGCTACCTCATTCACGGACGACGCGTGTATTTCCTTGGGAATTGTGATATTTGAATATAGGTGATGACTTTATTTTTAATTAGCGGTACAATTTATTGTTCATACGTGTGAAAAATAGTGTGACCTTCAATCGAATACAAGTTTTCTGAAAAGATCAGCGAGATGTGATTTTATATATGATTATAACTGTAGCAATTCTAATATTAATTTGTTCCTTACTTCGCGAAAGTTCTTATTCACGCAATAGCAGCAAGAAATTGCATTGGTAACACATGGATTTGACGATATCAATTCTTATGACAGATAAAGAGACTTATCTGTCTCAAGAAAAAAACTGATAATGCAGCTAGAGATGTAGGTACGTCATCAATCTTTCGAGTGTGCATTATTTGTTTCTAAAATAAGATCTTTATATAATTATTTATATAATTGTATAATATGCATTATACAAAATAATAAATAATTTAGATGATATCTAAATAAATAGCAGGAATTTTAGCTATAATTACTAAAAATTTAACTTTAAGCTCTATAATAAAAATAATTAAAATATAATCATATAATGTAAATATATAAAAGACAATTTTATTATATTATGTTTACGAAATAATTAATAAATCGCAACTTTAAGACTTTCATTTATATCCCAGAAGAAATCATTCGTTGACTATTAGAACCCATCTGTGACACTCGATGATTAATTCAGGTACGTAAGCTCAAGGACTTCAGAAACTCCGTTTAAACTTTTACTATGGAAAGAATGGTTTTGCTAAAGTCTATATAAAATCCAAACATTCGGTCAGATACAGATCTGAAGATAATTTTATTTGAACCATCAAAATAATTATGTAGAACGCTCAAATTGATTCCTAGAACGTTAAATTTTTGCAACTCCATCAATGCTCAAGCGTCCTACATAATTATTTTAATGATCTAACAATATTATTTTAGAATAGCTAAATTTTTAGGTACATCAGCGAAATCGTTCTTTTCGTGTAAAAGAAAATCATATCTTCTCGTTCTCAATACATACATAAAATACAATACTCTGCTGTTTTTTTTATGCTGCTTCTATGTATGTACATTGTATTGGATTCTAGCTCGAACAGATTGATTGAATTATGTGTCAAAGCACAGATAACGTCGCGGCATCACGTAACTGTCGATGTAATTATTCATGATGTGCGTAAAGGCTGCAGTAAGCATTTTTCATGATCATTCTGTGCACTTTCGCAATCATCAGTGCGTACTTTCAAACCCGACAATAATCTCATCTTAATGTTAATATACGAGAAAGGGAGAAAGGAGAAGCTCGAATTATCACTGTACTGACCATGCAATAAGAAATAGAAAAAGCAGAGAGCGCGAGAAATGCGCGTATAATGAAACGGCGCGTAACTTTTAACGGCTCACGACGTAAACGCGCGTATCATTACGGGAAATTTAAAAGGAAAGGCTAGGATCTGCATGAGGCCAGTAAGGAGGTGAATGATTTCGCGAGCATACAAAATTTCAGGTTAACAGATTGAGATTATCGGTGTAGGAAGCCTCAAAAGTACGGAGATTCGTAAACTACTTTCACTCGTAAATGCTCGTTTGCGTCTTTATACGAAGTACAAACGACTGGCATTACCGGAACAGGTTGCTGCCGGTGCAATAAGTTAGCTGGCGGCAGACTGAGAAATGTGTCTCCATTTCTATCTCTCTCTTTCAGCACGCTATATCTTATAAGAACCATTAAAATGGAAGAAACGCCAGTGAATACTCTAAAGACGGTCGTGTACGCGCATAACTGAGAAAATCTCTCGGCGCCTCTGAGAAAAAATTCTCGTTAAGAAAGGAAGCGCGACAAATTGGCATAATGTAACATTTTCTAGTAGAAATCTAATCGCTAAGCTTGTCGACAGGCCACCGGGAGAAATGGTCGCGTAATTCGACGGTTTTCAGCGGACGACGCTCAAAGTGAAAACGATGCGGCTATGTGCAACATGTTGCCTTTACCCGCCGACAAGCATATGATCTCTTTGTACTAAACGCAGGCGCGCGGAATGTGTCGTGCATTTTAGTTTTCAAAATTACTAATTAAAACTTTGCGTGTGAGAATTTTTTATCCCTGTGAATCCCTACGGATGATTCGCCAATTCAATCTTTTTGTAAGATACATTAAACATAAAATAATTGAAATCCAATAAAATAAATAACAATTTTCCGATAATATTAATAGCCGAAATTATATGCGTTTGTACGCATTGCAGTCTTGTAAACACAAATATTTATACGCATTTGCAAATATTTATGAGTGCATTTATGAGTTGGTTGCATTATCATGATTAAGACGAAGCATATAATTACTAATGCAAAATTTGAATTCATCGACTAATCAGCTTCGACGCAAACAGAATCATATAAATTTGTTATGTCACGTTTCAGTAAAATCGATTTGTGCATATTATGGGGGACCACCTGTTGGCGAACGTCGTGCTCGCACTGCAGTAATAGTAATCCCAGTTTAACTTCACGAATGTTCTTGTGAATAATTTTGATAAATGTCAACATATGACAACTTGAATATATAATATATACTAATAATAAATTTCTTCTAATTAACTTCCTCATAAAAACATCTAAAACGTGCCTTTAATCAATTTTAATTGCCTTTAATTCTTGTGCTTCTACCATTGAAAAAGAAAAATCATTTGATATTGAAAGAAAAAACCGTTTGCTTTTGTTCTTATCGATTAATACAGTTTAATTCGGCCTTGAATGAATTTACGAACAACACGTAACGAGATGGCACCGAAAAAAAATCATTGAACTCGCATTACTGGAGAGAGAGAGAGAGAGAGAGAGAGAGAGAGAGAAAAGAGGAGAAGAACTGAGACAGAAAAAACGAGGATGTGGCACGTCATGTCAAAATGAGTTGCGACAATTTTTACATTTTTGCGCTTAATCGTACAAAGGCGCGGTGCAACGCGCGGGCTCTTGCGAAAATGACTGAATGGCCTGAAAAAATATGCGCACACCGATAAGCACCGCGGCCTGATAAGGTCGATGCGTATTATCACTGTTTGCTCGAGGCGATAACGATGCGCAAAAATGAGGTTGAAATTGCAAAACGGCATTAAAGTCCGTGTAGAGGAGGGCCAGGGAGGTGGAGGACGAAAGGGAGACGAGAGGGAGACGAAGAGAGGGAGATGAGGTTGATAAATCGTTAGGGCAAACGGGGTGAGTGGATAGGAGGAGGGGGAGAGGGAGTGCATTCGGTGCAACGCAACGAGGGGAACCACGTAATCTAAAAGGCTTATAAGACTGCATCCGGTGGGACGATCGATAGCGAGAATTATCGACGTTTCGTACAGACACTACGCGACGTGGATAAAAATTTGGCGGTCCTTCTTCTACCTTAAGTTCTCTCTTTGCTCCCATATTATATCTATCTATCTATTTATCTATGTAGTAATATTGTTAGATAACTATCTAACATTCTCTAACATGATAAAAATTAATATTATTATTTTGAATAAATATTACTGACTTGTTTATATTTTTTACAACACTCTTATTTTTGTAGACATTTAAATCTTAAATTAGATAAAACTGCATGACATCATTAAGATAATGAAATTTAAATACAGTACCGCATTGCGATGCATTCGTATATTGACGTTGACGCAAATCACATTGGGAATATCTGGCTGTGGATTCCAGTCGTCCGCACGAACTTTTATCCGCGTCGCATCGTATTTGTAGGTCAAATAAATTGTGCGGCTCAATAAGCGACAAATTGCGTGAAATCATGTTGCAGTCGTTATACAAATTATACGGCACGTGTCCAAAATGGACATTTAAAATTTTAATTAAACATAAAATATATATATATATATATATATATATATATATATTTTATCAACTTGATATCATATTCATACTAATTAATTAATATAATGTTTTGTAAAGACTATATATTAATCTATAAAAAAACTTGATGCGTGTGTTAAAAATAAATGAAGTGATACAAACACAGTACATGTAAATTAATTTAAAAAATTATGCAACTAATTAAACAAACTAATCTAATATTCTTTATGAATTAGCAAGAAAAATTTTCTCAGATTAACAATTCTTCTCTAATGGTGAACCACATCTTTCAATGTTAAATATTCATTTTCTTGTACGTTGCATATTTCACTCAATCTTAGAAGAAGGAATATGGACCCTTCTTCCTGGGCGGGCAGCCGCAGTCTCTTATTAATTGATCGAAATTAGAGCACTCGGACCGCTTCATTGACAGAGCTACCGACAGTGCAATGACCGCTCGGTAATTCGAGACTCAACCGATGACACACTACCCAGTTAGATGACAAAATTTTATTTTACCGATGACATGGAACGCACTCCACGCCACGCGAAAATAATTGAAAAAGCATTTTCGTCGAATCGCTCGCTTTCGAAACGCATTACCGGATTTTCGATAATATATTGCCAGAAACTAATTTCGTTATTACCATGTCGACGAAAGAGGAAAAAAAAATGTACAGCCCGCATGTCGCCGTTACTGGTGTTACCGGCGCGAATAAAATACTTTCACGTTATCGCGCGGTGTCATCCAATAAACCGCGGCAGCTTGTTCCTATAACAAGTACGCTTTTTTCTCGATTTAAAATGTGCTTTAAAACTTTCCGAAAAATTATCACAGTGTTTAATTATAGATGAAATGGTGAATTGATAGGTTAATTGCAGAATAAGGTAACATATATATTTTTTTTTTTTTTTATAAAGTTTAAAGATTGCGAGACTTG